TTTTTTTTAAAAAAAAAGTTATCAAGCTCTTAAAAAATCACCCGTTACATTTACATGTATGTATGTACGTATACATCCGTATAGCGGCATGTCTGTACAATTAAGTTACGTTTGAAGTGCCACATGCACGGTAAATTTGCATTAAGATATTTGTATGTATGTATAATAAAAAATTATACATTGAAAACAAAACTTTTTGTTCAATAAAAATAACAGTTAAAATGTAAGTATACAATTTCGATAAACAAACTTTATATATGTTCATTATAATATTCATTATAATATAGAGCATTTGCAATGATATTCTTGATCAAGTAAATTTTAACTGCTATATTTGAAACCTTTTGAAAAATATATGAAATCATAATTTTCATATTTCTTATTTACATATAATCATATGCCATGTACAACTACTGGTGAGCCACATTGTTAAAAATAACTCTCTAAAAATACAATAGGTGTTTAAGACGAGAATCAAAAAGGAATTTGCATAACCTAAGACAAGAAGAGACATTTTAAAAATTTAAAAAACTGTATTCTTTGACCTTCGCAATCACAAAACTTTTAAAGTCCAAATAGATTGGACCGGTTAGGTTGTTACTATTTTTTTTGGCTGCTTACTAATTTTAATGTTTATAAGTACAAATTTTTTCGGCAAAGTAAATATCGATACCTGAGTGGAACGTCGACCTGTATCGCCAGCCAGCAGCCAGTTCTAAAACGCCCTATCTCAGAAAATTTTTGAAGAACGCCATACTTCAGCATTTGATTGAAGACGGCCATAGTTCGGTATTTGATTCAAAAACACCCTATCTTAGCACATTTTCAATGTATTTTCAGCTAAGATAGGGCGTTTTCATGCGAATTCTGGGATAGGGCGTTTTTCAAAAAAAATTTTGAGACAGGGTGTTTTCAAATAAAATTCTGCAACAGGGCGTTCTTCAATCAAATTCTGCGGAAGGGTGTTCTTGAAAGGTTTTCTGAGCTAGGGCGTTTTCGAACTAGCTGCCGAGATAGATCGATCTTCCACTTATGTAGATATCGATATCGTTACCTTAATTCACCAAGGCCCTAACCAACACTTTTTTCGAAACTGCGTTTTTT